CTCTTACTGACAACATTAGCAGTGCATTTTGTATGCTTAAGGGCCATGATGAATAAAACAACATGAGATTAAATCAAGCACAAGAGAAAATGATGCAATCAAGAGTGCAGTAAACAGGAAGATATATAAGGCTGCTGCAAGTGTAACGTGGCATACTGTTTTACAGTAAACCTTTTTTATAAGTAGAAAGAGTACACTCTAAAATGACGATAAAAAGTATAGTTTAGTAAATACATAAACCAGTAATGTAGTCGTTTATTATCATTATCAAGTATTATATACTTTACATAATTGTATGTGCTGTACTTTTATATGACTGGCAATGCAGTAGGTTTGTTTATACCAGCATCACCACAAACACATGAGTAATGCATCATGCTATGACATTACAATGGCTACAATATCACTAGGTGATAAGAATCTTTCAACTCCATTGTAATTTTATGGGACCACTGTCATATATGCTGTCTGTCATTGACCAAAACGTCGTTATATGGTGCGTGACTGTATACCGTCCTTTTGCAGTACATCCTTTTTGCCTTTAAAACCTAGAAGTATATATGCTCCACCGGAAGTCAAAAAAAGATCACTATTGAGATAGCTGCTGGTGTGAAGAAAAAATTAACTCAAATATATTTGTTTAGAAAGGTTTTCACTTTTAAATGGAGTTTAAGAGCATGGCTAATCTCCCAGTTGTTTTACCATGAATTGTCGAGAAAAGAAATTTGGATCACAACAGTTAAAGGACAACTTCATGTCTCTTCCCCTTTCCTCACCCCCCCCCACCTTGCCACACACATACATAATGACAGCTTGTGAGTGCCATTGACTGAAAACAGGCCCAGCAATTTATCAGACCTCCCTTAAACAAGAAACAATTGGCATGGGCATTTTCACCCCACAATTAGTTGCACTCAGAATTTCTATAGCTTCATTTAATTTTAAGCACAAAAGAGAAGACAAAAGCTGAAAACATAGGTCTCTTTATCCTATGACCTTATTCCTTTTTCAGGCAACCTACTTCCTTGAACAATCATTCACTTTAGTACCACACCCTTGAACAACAATTTATTGAAGCAACACACCCCTCTCCACAGAAGAGGAAAATTTTCTACTAGTGAAATGAAATACTGGCATAGTAAGGGAGCTATCTACATTCTTTGTACCAAAGAAAAAGAAAAAAAATTATGTAAACAAAGATAAGACCAAGCTGAATAATTATTGAGAGCAGAGGCCATTCATAAACACACATTCTCCTCTGGGCTGCTCTCTATAGAGCTAAATTTGGTTGCAAGTTTCAAATTCAAAAGAATGGTAGCCCATATAACACATATGTTAAGAGATCTCTTTTTGCACCAACACTTGTTTTATTCAATAAAATATTGAGGGACAAAGCATAAAATAATATTTAAAAATGAAATATAGACATATGGGACACCTACGGACTAGGTCCTATATATCTGTCCTCAATGTGGGCTGTCCCTGGATAAGCAAATGGTATTTATACAGGTAATCAGAGTGCTTCCTACATAATAGGCACTTTATAAATATATGTTCAATGAATCACTGGTATTAAAAATATTTTATTTTGATTCATTTCTCTATCACACAACAGAGCTCCTCTATATACATGGAAAATATCTTGAGCTTCATGAGAAGCTAAATTAAGGGAAGGGACAAACATATTTCCAATCAATAATTCATGTCAATGCTGTTCATTTAACACAGTATTTCATTTTGAGTCAATGATGGTAGGCTAATATTTAAGCTTTTTAAAAGCTTGAGCTCTAAGGTTTCTTGTTTTCTTTTGTTTTATGTAGTTTCTGGAACTCCATTTATTTACAAGACTGCATTCAGTTCTAAAATGCATCTATGACCTTGATTACACCCGTGTTTGATTTTACTTGCTCATATGGATAAACCTATTAATTTTAATTCTACTGTCAATTTAGACAATTTCACCAACAACTGATACGTACATTTGATTTTCTCCGAGAAGCACTCTATCAATCAGACAAAATAATAACCGCGAGAATCATAAAACATATCTAATCAATTATAGACAAGAAACAAAGCAACATTATATCTCGAGAAATTTAGAATATGTTTAGGTCTATAAACACCATTTTAGTGCACAAGAACAAAATAGAGGAAAAACATGTACTGAAAAGCCGGAAATGGAAAATACTAAAGTGCTGCAAAAGCATTTGGTTAAATCTAAAATGTCTACTACATAAGCTAAAATTAAGATTCAGGAAGCAAAGCAGAATGCCATCAATTTTGGTTTCTCAAAAGGAACATATTTCACTACTGACGATTATATGTATTTTTTAAATCTTATGAATTCTCTGAATGTCATCCAAAGTGCTAAAAACATATAAAGTAAAAGTTTAATTGAATTCATGATAACCAACAATTGATTATAATATCCATTTTCCTAGCTGCCATGGTCACAAACTCTAGCATCAGAGTAATTGCTACATATCAACTCAAAATGTCTCTGCAACATGGCGTATTAAGGAGAGATTTTATTAAAACATAAACCAAACCAGAAAAGTAAGAAGAGCTTGAGTAATATGTACTGCTTGCTTGTTCTTGGTATGGTACATAATAAAGTGGCTTCCACATCTTACCCATTTCGTTAGCGTGAAGATAATTTCAGATCAAATCTAGATCCAACTGTACCCAATGCTGTCCTACCAATAAACAAGGATACAGGAAAATAAAATAGAATGGTTTCCTAGTCACATTCTTTGCGGCAGCTATCTAAAAGCTTTTCTGCAAAATTATTTTTTGGTGGATTTGTGAATGCCTTTGACATCTAACTCAGTTTGAAATTTTATAGACAAATTTTCTCTCTTCTTGTTTCACTTAGGGAATGGAAAACCTTCTTATATTTTTCCTTTATCACGTATCTGCTTCTCACCTCCTTCATCCTCACCCAGCCCTTCCTTTTCTTTCTTTTCAATTATAAATAGCTTCGGACTTCACAACACCCTCCATTCCAATCTCTTATCCCAGTTTCTGTGGCCATACTTTCTATCCCTAAGGTTCTTTTTAAACTCCTCTACAGGAAACTACTTTTCAGGATGGAGAGAGTCTTGCAAGGATCACTTTAGCAAATATCAGGAAGAAAGAAGGAAAGTCTTGTAAAAAACTTGATTAGCTTGGTCCTGGGATTATTAAAAAGGAAAGTCAAATTAACGAGCGTACAATAAAGTTTGATCCTAAAAATTGTTCTGTAGTCAATATTTATAACTTGCCAAATTTCTGCTTTTAAATTTTTATCTCTTCATCTTTCTTTTACTAGCAAGTCAACAAGAAAAGGAGTTAATGTTCAAATAACTATAACAGATAGGGTGATTTTAGCATTCCTATGATACTGGTAATTGTTGTTTTTGACCGTCGCATTGTTTTTGGACTACTAAGGAACATAGGTGGCACCCACTTTGTTGTTCATTAACATCCCCATACTGAATATTGGAATGTACATTTGCATTATTATTATCACTTATACAAACTAGTATTTTTTGAACTTTATATTTTTCTTTCCTTTGACTTCAATATAGGTAGGGTTTTTCTCAACTAGGAAATTGCTAACAATAAATCCTGGACTTTTTTCTTCATATTTTTTCCCTCAAATTAAGCTAGGAGTGGAATAAAAGAGTAAAACTCTAGCCTTTGTAGTCGTTGGGTTATTTATACCTTTAAACATTTTTTTAAAATAGTTTTATTATATGCTTTGGAAATGTTGCTTCATATCATACTTTAAATTGTGGTTTTGGGGAAAATAATCCATATTATTCCAGATTGGTATAATCATGCAACATAGGATAATATCATCTGAATCATTTTTTGAGCTCTTCACAGTACAAGTTGTATCTTGAAAATAAAATTCCAATTTCGACAGAAGTTTCTGGAAAGCTTAAAGACATACAAATTTAATATAAAGAAAGTCAAAGAATAAAAACAGACATAGAGCTGTCAATTTTATGTAGTTTTGCAATTTTCCTTTCCGTTCATTGGCAAGATTATTAGCACAGACACTGATGCTGAAATAACTCCTTTAAAAATAAATTTATTTCAGGGCTGGCCCCGTGGCCGAGTGGTTAAGTTCGCGCGCTCCGCTGCAGGCAGCCCAGTGTTTCGTTAGTTCGAATCCTGGGCGCGGACATGGCACTGCTCATCAGACCACGCTGAGGCAGCGTCCCACATGCCACAACTAGAAGAACCCACAACGAAGAATACACAACTATGTACCGGGGGGCTTTGGGGAGAAAAAGGGAAAAAATAAAATCTTTAAAAAAAAAATAAAAATAAATTTATTTCATATTAAAGGTTGTCTTAGAATTTCACCTGTTTTAGCTTTCCTATAACAATTGCTTATGTCTTTCCTTCCTCAATCCTATATCCGCTCTTTCAATACTCTTTCTATCAATATTCATAAGTTATTCACCTTGACTGTACAAGAACCAATGTGTCATTTTCAGAAGAAACACATATGACAATTCAAACAGACATTTGTGCTTATCGCTTAACCTGGAGCAGCATACTGTTTGATGAACAGAAACAATTGCTCGCCGCTCCGTACATGCCATTGTCCCCACACCACCATATTTAATACAAAAAACCTGTTTACTTCTGACATGAAGTGAATCAGCGGGAAATTATTCTATAAAAATTACTGTATTTGAGTTGAGGATTGCTTTGCATTAGGGGCAAAAGAATACCTCAGATTGGATATTCCAATCAAATCCAACAAGAAATGAGCCATCCTATGCTCTAGTTAGATTATGAAAATCATTGGAACTGGTAAAAAAAACAACCACAGGCACTAGTAAATGAAAGAACAGCCAAGAGATAGAATTTGGGTGACTGTACATTACACATATAGCTGCAATCTGCCAAGAGATAATATCTTATAGAACGGAGGCAAAGAAGCTGAAAAAAAAGAAATGAGGTCGACATTTTCCCTCTCTAGTAGCCTGATTTTGCCGTACCTGAGAATGGTCGCTCCAAACCAAGTTTTGGTAGGAGGAGGCAGTTTTGAGAGGGGAGAGCACTTCCCGTGAGCTGATGGGGTCCAAGGCCTGAACCACCTTGTTCATAGGCCCACTGTAGGTCCTCACTTGCTCATACACTACATTTTTTTCTGGTGGCTGCTGGACTTGGCTTGACTGATGGTAGCAGTGGTAATGCTGGGGCTGGCCCTGCAGCACCTCTGGGGGCTGCTGAGTCCCACAGCTGCTGCTGCTTGTCTCATTCCAATAGCTTGAGCTCATCGTCTTCTCAGTGGTCAGCAAGGTGCTCCCAGATGCTCTCCCTATGGAACAGAGAGAGAGAGATCATGAAAGAAAAGGTAGGAAGGCAGGCAGGCAGGCACACGTAGAAGCCATTTATCAACCACCTCTGCCTATGGTGGTGCCAGGGAGAGAGGAGAGTTACCGAGCAGCAGCAGGAGCAGGTCTGGCAGCTGCAGAGGAAGCAGCAAAGTATTTGAGCACAAATGGAAAGTGGAACCACCCTGTGAGATTGCTCCAGGAAATGGTACTGACACGCCCTTGAGGGGCGGATTCACAGGGCAGGTTTACCTGCCAGGAAAGGCTCTGCTTTGCCGCAGAGATAGCTACAAGGCTGCAGAGTAGGTAAGGAAGTCTGGAAAGAGCAGAAATGCAGAATCTCAGGGCTGAGGCCAGATATTCCAAGTCCACAGACTTGGAGATTCACTTTAACTGTAAATAGGCAGACAAAGACATGCCCATATCAAGACTTAGTAGAGAAAAAAAGTCACAAACGTCACACGAAAGTGGCTTTCCCATGGATCTTAAGTTTAGGAAAGGTAGTTATGAGCATGAGTATTATCATTCTAGAGTCCTAGGCCAAAATACAGGTATTAGCCTAGGGACACTAATTTTCACAGATAAATTTGCATACTTTGCAAAACACACCTGGTAACTGCATTTAAGGGATATTGCTATGGGGTCTCCTTCAAGCAACTCTCTCTAATTTATGGACCTGTTTATCTTGCTCCAGGTCTAGTATGGCTTTCAAACATACACTGAAGTAGATTTGTCTAAATGATTGAAGCACTGTTTATGCATGGGGGATTGGTCATGAAAAATCTAAGCATTTCACAAATGCTCTGCATTTTAGCATTTATGTCTATTGTTTTGTGTTTTTACAAAGAAATGTACCCTGACTTTATTTGTGCCCTAGGAAACATTAGTTTTGATTGCCATTTTTTTAAGATTTTATTTTTCTTTTCTCTCCCCAAAGTTGCCTGGTGCATAGTTGTATATTTTTAGTTGTGGGTCCTTCTAGTTGTGGCATGTGGTACACCACCTCAGTATGGCTTGATGAGTGGTGCCATGTCCGTGCCCAGGATCCAAACCGGCAAAACCCTGGGCTGCCGAAGCAGAGAGCGTGAACTTAACCACTTGGCCACAGGGCCAGCCCCAAGATTGCCTTTTTAATATCTAGTTGTAAAGGGAGCTGCAAGTCCTGAGAGGTGGGTTTCCCGATGTAATGAGATTTACACATGCTTAGCACTTACCTAGTAAGTAATGCCTACTTACCCATCAGAATTTGCCTTGCAAGATGCTTCAGCACCACTGAACTCTAGAATACTCACTGAAGGTGACTTCAGAAAAGGGATGTCTTCCTAGTGTGTCTATACACCATAGAACCTAGTGCATCGTCACCATTCTGGAGAGGAAGAGAAGATCGTCAAGCTGACTAGCCAGCTTTTCGTCTGCTGACTGAACAAAAGGTAGTGATTTACTGGTCACTTTCTATGACCAGGTACTACGCAAAGAACTTTACATGGATTATCTGTCATCCTCACGACTTTATGAGGGTTTATTGGTGAGAAACTGAGGCACAGACACAGAGAAGTTGAAAAACTTCCCAAAGTTAAACAACCAGTAAATGATGAGTCTGGAGGTTGAACATAGGAAAACTCTTTTTAGAGTCTAAGCTCTTATCTACTACATTATACCTCTAGATAAATTTTAAAATTATGTTCTGTATCTGGCCATACAATAATCTTCTGGGTGAAAAAAAACTTTTGAATTGCTGGCGTGTAAGTGACTTTAAAAGGAATCTTTGAATTTTTCATGGAGGAGAGGTATGCAAAATGCTGAAAATAGACCTTAAAAACTCTTTAAAATGATTTACTGTGTATTTATATTTGTATTTATGTGCTGCATGCAGAGCTTTCAAATCTAATCCTTGTTCATTTTAATGCTGTTCCTTAAGAATCAATGAAAATTTAATTAGGAGCACATGACCCATCAAACAGCCTGGCAAATTATCAGATCAATAACTTATTAATATCATCATCAGTATCATTTTGAGTAAGCTTTATGTATGAACAGGGAATGGGTGTTAAGTGTGGTCATCCAGTCAACTCTGATTGTTCAAATCTGAATTTAAAACACACACAAACACATACACACAGTGCTGTGAATACCTGCAGCCAAGAATTGACCTAGTAAATAAAGTAAGACATCAAGATGAAGAATAAAAATTCCTTCATTCATAAAATGGTGACCATACCTGCCCTCCACATTTCTTGAATATATGGTATTTTGAGGCAGCCATCTTGATGCAGTTGGGCAAAAATTAATGTGTAAAACTGACACCCTCATCCAATCACTGAGCCTCATCCATCACTGTTTCCCATCTCTGGGTATGAGGGAAAGAGAGTTGATGCTCGGGGATACTTTATAAGAAATGAGATTAGGCACTATCTGGCAGACACACCACATCTAACTATGAAGCAGATGTTGACCACTCTTGTTCACCTGAGAGAGGTTTATCAATCATTCTCACCAAAGTTTCTACTTCTCTGAGAATTCACTTGTGCATTCAATGATGTGTATCTCCAATTGTTTTATTTCTCTTTCATGCAGATGATGTTAAAACTTACCTATTTTTGATTAATAAATGTTTATAAATATATTTGACTGTTTAATAATGATACTTGCTCTGTTTCCTACTTGAAAACCCAAGGGATTGACACTGTGCATTCTGCAAGCTTTGTGATTTTGGTGGATGAGATAGTAAGAGTTTATTCTTTGTTCTCAGTCCCAGACGTGTTCAGAGAATCCTTAATTATATTTCTGGTAGTTATTTTATTTAACTTAGTAATATGTATATTGTCTGTTTAGTACTGAAAAAAACTCATTTATGATGATAGATTTGATTTCTCCTTAGAACTGATATCCTTTTAGAAGCTAATTCAGTTCTAACAGATTTAAAAACATCTTTATTGCTTCTGACTATAAAAATAATTCAAGAGGGAGATGGGCACGGATTTTAGCTCAGGGCCAGCCTTCCTCAGCAAAAAGAGGAGGACTGGCAACAGTTAGCTCAGTGCTAATCTTCCTCAAAAAAAATAAAAATAAAATAATTCATTCTTTAAAAATTCAAGCAACTAAAGACACGAATAAAGTAGAAAATGAAATTTCCCATATTGAAGGTGGGAGTCAGGAATGGAGTAAGGATCAGGAAGGTCTGTCGTATACATTGTTGGTAATAAATAAAAAAAACAACAATGATTTACATTTTGACTGAGTTGTTTTGAAGGTCATCTGAAAAAGTTCTGATTTTATGTACCTCATAAAATGGTTTTTAGGATCAAACATGAAAGTGCCTGATAATTGTAATACACTATCCAGATATAAGATTTTAAAACATATTATTCACAGAAGGTGTGGTATGATTTTTGTTAAATCATAAGCTTTGAAAAGGCAATATGAATGTCCCATGGAGGCTACAGGCCCAGTTTTTTAAAAGCTTAGCTACCTAAAACTATTAAGGTAAAATATCAGTAATTAATTTATCAAAATTGATGTACAAAGCTATCTTAGAATATTAAACAATATAAGTAAAAATAAATTTAACACCAAATGAATTTCATCAGCATCAGCAGTTGAGTTGTTATGTGTATACCCAATCCTGTACTCCTCCTCTCGTTTAATGGAGATGACGCTCAAATCTATCTCTAGCCCTGGCCCACTGCTTTAGGTTAGTGGTGTAATGGCAAAGGATAGAGAGTTAAAGAGAATTTACTCAGGTCTTTTTACTTAGGCCTTCTCTATGATCAAGGAGAAGTATGTTCATATGGAAAGGGTCAACAGGCATTGGTCAGAGGGTGCTGAAGTCCAAGGTATTGAGATGATTATATGAAAGCACCTATGTTTTACTAAATGAGTCTAAGTCACTTGACCCAGCAGAACTCCATTCCAGCCTTCTGACAGAACGCAAAGTGGAGCTTGCTTGACTGCTGTTGGGAAACTTTACACTGGGCAATGTTGCAGAATATCAGGTATGAAAAAACATTGTCTTGATTTGAAAAAATGAATAGCTAAGTTTGCAAACTGAACAGTTTAGTCTGACATCAATTCAAATAAAAAGTCTATATCAGATGTCTGATGATACATATACTTAGAAAAGAGATAAGTGATCCCAGAAAGACCTTTGGTATCTTCTATCCTGGTTTCTGAATCTCTAAATAAATTTTAACTGTGGTGTAATTTTGCTCAGAACTAACTGATTCGAATGTACCAAGAGCCACACTAGAGAAAATCAGACCTGGATTCTGGACAGAGTAAATAACTCTTCAGTATGATTTGGAATGCAGTTGAACAGGCACCAAGCCTCTGTGATTCTGGAAAATCCCCAGGGATGCTTAACCTTTCCTGTAAAAAAGATTACTTTAGAGAAGCATTTCTCAAAGTGTGTCCTGAATAACACTAGTCTACAGTGTGTTATACCTAGAAAAGTGTTTTGCAACTAAATGAGTTCAAGAAATACTTGGTTAAATATAATTTGAGAAGTAGCTTTATTGACGTAATTCACATAGCCTTTTATAAGCTAATGTACCCTGTGATCTTCTAAATGGGTCAAAGATGTGTAGAATTTTTCAAGTTTTGTTGGAGATGAAATGTATTTTGTGTGGAATAACTTCTGTGGCTTGTGTTCTTCAGACTTTTTTCTTCTTTATGCTTTTTTCCTTCATATGCTTTAAACCAAACTCACAAAGTGGGAATTCAGATCTAGTTTATAATTCTACCAATATCATGAAAACATACCAAAGACCATTTGATCAGCCTCATCACTATACCAGTGATACTTGAAGTTAGGTCCCTGAACGAGAATCATCAGCTTTAGCTGGAAAATTTCTAGAAATGCAAATTCTTGGGCCCCACCCTAGATCTACTGAGTCAGGAACTCTGGCAGTGGGGCCCAGCACTCTGTTTACCAAGCCCACCTGGTGATTCTGATGCACACTAAAGTTTGAAAATCCCCTAATTATACCAGTACGTTGGGGGCAGGACAAAAGAGGAAGATGGTAGTGCCAGAGAGATGAGACTTCCAATGTATTGGGTAAAAAATTGTAAGCAACTCAGGACTGGATGACTAAAAGTCTACGAGGAGGTAGAGATGAGCTACAATGCTGGGTAAGAGTGAAACTGTTCTACATCTATGGAGAAGTTAGGATGAGAACGAACTACAGTATAGGACATTAAGTATAGCTACTTGAGATA